GTCATGACATAATAGGTCCAGGGTGGACGAATAAGCGTGTGCCACGTGGCAAGCCCTGAGAGGTCCAACTGGGGGACACTTGGCAGGACCTGATTAGCCCACGTGGCGCATTCCGATTGGTGGGAGCAAAATCCCCTAATCACAAGTCACTGACCCTCTTGGAACAGGATTATTGGGTAATTTTTTTTTTCCTTATTTGTCTACAACCTTTTAAATAAATCTCGGATTTCCTGGTAATACCCGTATATTTATTAAATAATTATTTTGATAATTGTTTTTTTTAGTATAATTTTGTAAATGATAAAACATTGGTAACCCTATTTTATTTTAAGTAGAACTCTAATATTTAGAGGTAAACATAAACCCTAAAATATGCTATTTTTTATCAAATTCTTTACAGAGTATCGAGTGCAACCGTGAGCCAGATATATACCTTTTATTCTTCTTATTGATTGTTTGGGTTTATGCGTGAATCAAGCAAGTTGCACTTGATCTTTCCTTTCCACCTCATCATGAATTTATCCTCATGCATAATTAAAACTCCAAGTATCATTTATTCATTCTCATGTCTATGGTAATATGTATATCTGTTCGTATTTTATATTGTTTCGTCCATCAATACACCATGTTTTGGCTTTTCGAAAGGTAATTACACGAAACTTTGGACATGTTTGATATTTCTTATTATTATGTGTGATATGATTTATTATTTGCACTCTATATTATTATTATGTGTAAATTTTATAATTGTAATTCGTGTGATCAAGTTCGTATATATATGATTGATTATTGGTATTATATGATTTGATTGGATATGAGTATCATATTACTTTTATTAAATATGATTGATTATGTTTTATTCTAGGGTTCTAATGTTGTTTCTATAGGGAGTATTTTATCGAGGTTTTAGGGTTATTAAGGTAGAGTATTATTTTTGGGTTGAGATTTGATTATATTTGGGTTATTAGTATTTTCTTTAAGAGATGAGATATTGTGATCGAATTGTCATGTTATTTGGGAACTTGTGCCATTGTGGAGTTATTATTAAATTATTAATGGTTATTTGATCGAGTTTGAGATCAAAAGGTTGAGAATTATTATTTTATTCTTGGTTTGAGGCTCGGCGTTATATAACTTAGTCCTTGGTTTGTTGGTAAGAGGGTAATAATCATGAGTTAAGAATGAGGTACAATTTTTATTATTTATTTTTCTATGGTCCCCTACAGTGGGAATTGGCCCGTATGTGGTCTGGTTCAAGGTGTTTTTTTTTGTTATTGAGAGTATTCAAGTTTTTATACTTGTTGGTTCTATTCAAATTACCCATGTCCAAGGCTAGGTATAGAACAACGAGCATGACACACTTATGGAATATATTGAGTAAAGGTTCGTATTATTATTTGAGGTCGAGTTGTTAAAGGTTATTTTCAGAGTACGATGTGTAATGTAGTTTCGAACTACATTGTTTAATTGAGCTAGTATGGTCTATTATTCAATTATACTATGTATTATGATGTGTGGTGATTACTCAGCTTTTTGCTGACGTGTGTGTGTTGTTTTATTGTGCTATTTGTATTTGCGGCCATGTCTTTTTCTTATGGTGGCCCTGCGACAATCTATTTTGGAATTTGTCCTTAATGGTGAGCAGTCAAGATATTCTAAGCAGGTTGATCAAGTGGTCGTAGCTAAAGGAGCTCAAGTGTTTTGATTAGTGTGATATCATGAGTTTATAAAGTTGTATAAACAGCTCACCTAGTTTATTGGGTTGTAATTATTGGGATTTTGTAAGCCTTAACACTTGACAGGTTGTTGAGTGTGGCGGTAATACCTACGATTTAGGAGTATGCTTCCGCAATTTTATTTAAAGGTTGTTTATTTTTCCTTTAATTATTGTTTATTTTCAATTAGTAAATCGGGGGTGTTACATTTCCAATGATTAGCTCAATAGCTAATTGGGTGTAAAATATTCAATTCATATAAAGCTCTCAAGGTTAGTGTATAAACTTCACTATATATTATACCATGTAGCTAAATGCTTATTATTATTGGTCTTATTTTGTGGAACTATTACTACATCAAATAAATTGATTGGAGGATAGAGAAATATTAAAGAGTCAAATAACAAATGTAGGTTTGAAAAATATAATATTAGAGTACATCACTATGACTCAAACTTGTAAGCCATTCAATAAATAATTGTCCAATCATGTATTTCTCTTTCGGTGCTCATTTGTGAACAAAGTTAATTTTTATTATCACTTATAAGAAATGGAAAATCTAGGTCACCACCACCATTTTGTGTATAGCATTACATTATATATCTTGATGAAATCAACAACTTTAAAATTATTATATACTACATATAATGAAATGGGGCATCGCCCAAGCCATACACTAGTTTCAAATCAAAAGCCAAGCTCCCACACTTTCATGCTTGCATGTATTGCTATTAGAGTGCATATAGGCGCATAGCACTTATTTATTTAGCATGTATATAGGAGGGCGTTTTGGGATTTCCAAATTATTTTTTCGTTTGATTTTTTTCTATAGTGGTACATTCATGTGTACTATTATATATGCATGTATAATGTACCATTAAGTATTACTTGTCTTAATAGTACTTTTTGTGTACTATTATGCACGTAGTAATGATACTTTTTACCATTATATTTTCCACCAAAATTCGTTCCACTTGGCCTACTTTCATGTGAAAATTCAACTTAATTTCAAGAATGTCATCCTATATGTTTGCTAACATATAGGTTTATGCGCCTATAGTTATCCTTGCTATTGCTATCGAATGCACAGTTTCTCACATTGCTATTGCTATTGCTATTGCTATTGCTATTGCTATTGCTCTGTTGAAAACCCTTGAAATAATTTCCAAACACTCTGTAATATTGAGTTTTTATTTGTATGTGAAATTGTGAAGTATTGATGGTTGATTTTCCCCCTTTTCCTTAGATTCAATTCAAACACTTCCCTAATTGATCCTATTTTTTCTTTTTTTTAGGGCATGTTCACTTCAGCTTATTTTCAGTTCAGTTCAGTTCCAACCAGTTCAGTTATTATAATTAATCCTATTTTTAGGGCATGTTCACATTTACTGAACTGAACTGAACTGATTGGAGCTGAACTGAACTGAACTGATTGGAGCTGAAATGAATATTTTATGAGAGAAGGAAATTAGGAGCTGAACTAAACTGAACTATACTAATTGGAGCTGAACTGAACTGAGTTAAAATGAATATTTTATGAGAGAAGAAAATTAGGAGCAACTGAACTGAACTGATTGGAGCCGAATTGAACTGAAAATAAGGTAAAATGAACAGACCCTGAGACTAATGTAACTCATTACATGCCAATTTTACATGGCATCCTCTATCATTAGTTCTACCATTGATTATTATCATACTATTATGAATTCTTATAATTCTTAATATTCCATATGTATCTACTTGAGAAGACAATCTATTAACTATTACTAAAACAAAAATTTGCTGACATCATCCTCTCTCTCAAATGTATATGTGTCACTTTCTCATGAAATTTTTTCCCGCCAAATGCACTTATGATGTCATATATATTTTGTTTTTCTTTTGTTTTTAAAGAATTGTTTTTTTTTAATCATTTCATTTCAATCTTTTGACCGTGTCAATAAATAAATAAATTTTATTTTTAGTTGGAATAAATATTTGATATCTAGAAATTGGCTTTCATTTTTATATTTTGTTACTCATGTAATTTATGATGATAGCTGCATATCTTCTATGATTTAACTTATAAGTATATATGAGAAAATAAATAATAGAAATAAGATATTTCATTTCAACCACAAATCTATATATAGTGTAAACACTATTACATAAAAACATGTTGTGTAACTTCTATAGTTTTATCATAATCAAAATTATATGGAGATTTGGAAAGTAGGGAATTATCATAACTTAGCGAAGAAGTATAAGAGTCAGAGCCCACATTTGTGACTTGTGACATGCACAAATTGGAAACTTGATTATTTGCTTTTATTATATCAAACCAAATCATTCATTCATTCATTCAACAGTACAATACTCAACATCAAGCTCCTTTCAAGAACAACAGGTAAAGAGAGTTTTCAAAAAAGATAAAGCTCTCTTGTAACAAAAAAGTTAGATAACACAATTATAAGTGTTTGAAAACTTACATAACCTGAAAATTCACTACTTATTATTTAATGAAACAAAGTTTCTAATAATTACTTGGTATTAAGAAAGGAACACAAAGCTAAGTAAGCAATTACAAATTGATAACCTTAGTAAGAGGTTTTTTATTTATTTATTATTTTTTGTAGTTTACAATTATTGTTTTTATATTTATTAATTTATGTTTTTATGGACCTTTACCGAGTGAATCAAAAGTTTCATTTAATGTCACCACCACTTATCTAAATCAAACCATCAATTTACCAACGAAGTACGTGGTCTCTATGAACAAAACTAAAGTATAATCGGTTTTTATTTTGCAAAAAAAAAATTATTGCAACAATTAACAAGTAAATTTGTAATAAATTTCCGACTTAATATTAAATCATTTTGAGAAATATATTGAATACTTAGTCATAAGACTCATGACACCCAAAACTCACAAATATAACATGTTTGGTTGGTGATACAACAATAATAGTGATAAAATTGTGCATATATCTGTTCAAAAATTCTCATTTTTAATCACTAGTAAATTAGTATTACAAGAATGAAATTTTATATAAAAATATACATATTTTGAGAACACTGAGGGTCGGTTCTCTTCAGCTTAATTTCAGTTTAGTTCAGTTCAGCTTAGCTCCAATCAGTTCAGTTCAATTCAATTTCTATTTTTCTTCTCTCATAAATAATTCATTTCATTTCAGTTCTGTTCAACTTTAATCCAATCAGTTCAGTTCAGTTCAATTCCTAATTTCATTCTCTTATAAATAATTCATTTCATTTCAATTCTGCTCAACTCTAATCTAATCAGTCCAGTTCAGTAAATCAAAACATACCCTAATTTAATTTTAATATCTCATGCTAAATTATATACAAATTCATTACCGTTCTCCATACTAGGTAATGTGATACCGTCTACCGAAGGTGGCCGAAAGAATAGCAAAACCCTTAAACTAATACCTTCATTTACTATGCTTGATGATTGCAAACTGTACTTAAACGCGTAAAGCAGTGATTAATAGACAAATCGAAATCAAAACCAAAAACCTCATTGAGTATTCATACCATAAATCCTGTAATAAAGCAAGAACACAAACCCCAAAAAGAACATACCACTCACCCAAAAAATCAAATATACAATCCCAAATTATAAAGAACACCCCAGAAAAATAAATAAATAAAAACTTTTACTCTTTATTAGTCCCACTTTAAACCCCACCAAAAAAAAACCCAACCATAAATTGAAACATACCCAATAAATTTTTTCAAAAATCCCAAGAAAATGACTAAAATGGGTACCAAAATTTCAATCTTACAACCCCAAATTCTCTCATCTCTTCTCTTTTTCTCTCTCTTCCCCTGTTTTTCCTCTGCTTCAAATGACTACACAAAATTGGTATACAAAGGATGTGCAGACCAAAAATTTCCAGACCCATCTCAATCATACACTCAATCTCTAAAAACCCTTTTCAATTCACTCATTCCTCAATCAGAAAAATCAAATTTCAGCAAAACAACAGCAGGAGATGACACAGAATCCGCCATTTTTGGGCTATACCAATGCAGGGGAGACCTAAATTCAGTTGATTGTTACAATTGTGTAAGCCAATTCCCAAAATTAGCAAGTAAATACTGCGGTAGCAGCTCAATTGCAGCAAGAATTCAGCTAATTGGGTGTTACATGAGGTTTGAAATTGTTGGGTTTAAGCAAGTATCAAGCACTGAATTGCTGTATAAATACTGCAAGAAAGGCGATATCGGAAGCGGTGTCGGGTTCGAAGGGAGAAGAGATAGCGCGTTTGAGGAGGTGGAGAGTGGGGTGGTCAATGGTGGTGGGTTTAAGGCGGCGAGTTTTGAGTCAGTGTATGTGTTGGGTCAATGTGAAGGTGATTTGGTTGGGAGTGAATGTGGAGAATGTGTGAAAACAGGGTTAGAAAGAGTGAAAGCAGAGTGTGGTGATGCTGTTTCTGGTCAAGTGTATTTGAATCAGTGTTATATCAGTTATACCTACTATCCTAATGGGGTGGATGGTGAGAAGGCTTCTTCACCAGGTAACTTATTGCTCTCTTTATATAGAATGACCGACATAGTGAAATTTTGTACACACGTGAATGCACTGGATTGACCTTATTTTTTAAAAATGTTATATTATGAACATTAATATTTATCTAACTTAATGATAAAATATATTATTATCATGTTAATAAAAAAACTATAGTAAAAGTCAATATATGAATTTTCTATTAAAAAAAAAAAAAAAAAAAGTGAATAATATGAAAAGTGAAAAAAAAGAGTTCAATGTATCACTTGGACGGAGGGAGTAATTTTACTACTCCAAATGTGCAGTTTCTAACAAGCTCCAGTTCCAATTTCAAGTACCCTGGTTTTTTTTGTTACCCCTGCTAACAGCCTAACAATAGACTGTTACAGAGTATTCCATATAGATATAGTCACGTTAGTTGTCTACTTGTAATGTTTTAGGATGCTTGAGAGTGGTTCTCAACTTCTCACATTAGAATATACCTTTCCTGTAACTCTCACTTTCAGTACGAGTTATTTTGCCCCACTTGATTTTTCACGATTATTATTATTATTGTTTTTTAATTTTGACAAACACGATTTGGAAAATACGTAATTGATTATATTATCTCTTAATTTCTTATAAATCGATGGGAATTTATGATCAAAGTTTTTAGAACTTGATTTAATTATATATGTGCAAATAAATAAGGATGTGAGGGTCATGTTACTCGTGTAGTTGTATCACCTATATAGTTGTATTGTATGTCAATTGTTTTAGGGTACGGTGCTTGGAAAGTTGGCACGTACTAGTATTAATTTAGAACATCTTTAAAAAAAATATATATATATAGAAGTAGAAATGCATATTTGAATAAGGATATTGCTAACGAACGCCCTCGGGCGTTGGATAAGCATTTGAAATATTGTCTAAATAGTATTAATTTGAGAAATCGCGACAAAATCACGCGTTGATAGGTGTAATTAATGTTCATTTAATTTAATCTTTCTACTTTTAGCTAGCTTATCCAACGCCCCCGGAACGTTCGTTAGCTTTTGCCTTCGAATTAATACACCACTAATGGACTAAAAGAGAAAGTGATTGGTAGGTTTGTATACAAAAATTAAGATAAAGATTATAGATATGTGTCATGGGATTGGACTTAAATGTGCACGTGTGATGATATACTCCATAATAATTTTTTATGTATAAAGTTGTGAACTTGTGATAATACGAAGAATATTGATTGGAGTTTAAGGATTTAGAGGTGTATCATAAGATAACAAGTTAATCTCAAATATATTTGTTTCTCAATTAATAACTTGACTTATTAATATGGACTTCTGATATTAAGTCATTAATTCATTATAGAAGTGTTTTCGGAGATTTATAACATCACCTTTTTTTTCAATTTTTTTTTTCAATTTCAACTATCAATATTTGGTCTTTGGACAATCTAAAATTTGAAAACATTATTTTGGAACTAAGTTTATGCTTAATATTCATTTCAATTTCATTTCTATAATGAGATGGTTCGATAATTAGAGAGAATAATCACAGATGTATTCATCATCTTCATTATCATTTTTCATTTCCAATTACTACTGTATTTATGTAGTTAAATTTTAAAAACTTTGACCAACGTTTTACAATATGTACATTAGTACATAAGAAAAAACATTATCATACGTGAGCCTTCATAAGCAAGAAGATCTTAAAGAATGGATAGAATTGATGATTCAATTTTTTTTTAAATAATGCATGTTTGAGTTGGGTGGGGGAGCGGGAGGAAAATACTTTAAGATTCAAAAAAAGTGAAGAGCATAATCGTAGGTTCCAATTGTATACAAGTACTTGTCTTTGATATGGAGAAAGGAGTATCCATTATACATCTAACTTAATTAGGATAATCTATCCATTGCAATAAAATAATTATAGCCGTTGAGTATATCTTGGTGTCATAGTCCTAATTTTGAGTACCTTTTCCAACTTTTAATTTCAGATATTTTTGTTGGGAAATTGGTTTTGTGTGGTTGATTAGGATTTAAGCAATCCCAAGATCTTGAAAACTTTTTAATGAAAATATAAACTTTTAAGTAAAAAAAAAAAATGTCTATCTATGCCTGCAAAATAATAGAGTAATCGTTATAACAACGACGAATAGAGTAATTCTTATAACACAGCGGAAAAACTCTATAATAAGTAGTCAAACGGAGTGACTAGCCATATATAAAAATTATGTTAGTTTATAAGGTTATAATTGTTGAGCAATTAATATTTGATATTCAATTAAACTAAGACTTAAGCCAATCTGAGTATGTTGACCTAAAAAAATCCGACCTCTCACTTTTTTGTAGATGTATTTTTCTTTGATCACCAATTAATGTGCGTAAATATTTTCAGGGACAAGGCACGGCACAGCAAAAACAGTGGCCATAGTGGTGGGAGGTACAGCAGCAGCAGGTTTTGTGGTTGTTATTCTGCTGTTTACCAAATCTGTGTTGAAGAAAAAATCTACCAAATATCATCATTATGGTGGATGATCGTATTAATATAATTTTTTATGTATATAGACCATTAATTTTGCCTAGTGTGCCGTAGTTCTGCAAATTTCAGATGAAGATATAAAGATAAACATTAACTTTTTGGAAAAATTTCCCAAAATTATCTGATATTATCAATCAATTATCCCGAAGTTTTCTAGTCTAACATGTGCAAACTGGATTAAAAGTAACAGCTAATTAAAGAGATTTGATTGTACATGATGCATACAATTAAAGGTATATAATAGTTCTGCAAAGTTGTCTTAGTACAAGTGATGCATTAGAAAAAAAGTTAAAAAAAAAACAGAGGGAGTATCTTTATAGTTTAAACCATTATATGCAATCCAAAGGACCAGGCAGGCAGGCAATCAATCATCACGCTTCTCACATTCAAGCAGACAGGCACCCACGGAAGGTGCCTTCAAAAAAGCCGACGCAGTAAGGCAGTGGCGGCGATCAAGTTAAATGCATAATTAGAGGCACTTGCACATTATTTCGATCATTCTTCCAAAAATCACTAACAGTTATTGCATCAAAATTTGACAATTATCAATTTCGCAATTAGTATAGAGCTCTGCATTAAAAACAAAAATAGAAACAATACAAGCGATAGTCACATACTGTTCTGCTAACCTACTCATCCTAGCCTAGAAAATACTGAGAATACCCAAAAAAAAAAAAAAAAAAAAAAGGAACTGGCATATGTTCTTTCTACACTCTTGTACTCCTTAAATTGTAAAATTTGACATCATTCACAAGATATCCTAATCCTACCCTCCCAAAAAGAACATCTCCCATGTGTCAGTGTCACCAGCGGTGAGAGCAACAGAAAAATGGTGCCTCACAGCAAAATATGCTGAAACCAGTGGGACGATACAGCAGCCGGACATACAAATCACAAGAGAATTAACCAGACCATCTCAATAATAAGTACCATAATATGCTTGAGGAACAGCACCAGGTTGAGCTGGGGCTGGGGCTGCAGCTACTGGTGCCACTGGTGCCACATATGGTTGTTGAGGGTAAGCCTGCTAAGAAAACATCAATTCACATAGTTGAGATATGCTTGCTACAAGTAGATATACAGCAGGGTTGAATATAACAACAAATATCAAATTCAGATTTCAGTCATTCATCATCAACAAAATTCTCTACTAGACACGTATTACAATCTCTCGTATACCTGTGCTGGATAAGTTGATGGGTAGGCACCATATGCAGCAGTTTGAGGTGCTGTTGCAGGCACTGGTTGAGGGGCATAGCTGTTACCATAGTATCCACTATATGCAGCCTAACAAAAAAATTCAAACAACCATATTATTATGTATAAAAAACACTCATGTCTAGCTTAGCTTGTGAGCAGAGACATACCTGTTGGGGGTAGGTAGAGTTATATGGTTGTCCTGCAGTCTGAGCAGCTTGTGGCCATGGTTGAGCTTGCGTTCCATAACCTGCTGCCCATTGAGTTTGAGCAGCTGGATATGTTGCTGGGGCTGTTGAGGGAACACCAGAGTATGATTTTGCAAGCTTTGCTTTGTCTGAAGTTAAAAAATCATCAGCATTACGCTTTCTTGACTCTGATGGTCTTCTATGGCGCAAGAACAGCTTAGAATGCCGATCTTTAGCCTTCTTTAAGGATTGTACATCACCAAATAGATCCAGAAACTGCAGATTTACACAATACAACATCAAATATTGACTGCGACTTAATTGAAATTTTGACATAGCCAAAAAATCCAGTTCCAGAATAAACTCCATCAGGTCACCCTAACAAAGGAATTCTTTTCATTGTGTATCTCCATAATTCGATAGTCACAGTGGACATTGAAACTAAAAACATTGAGTGCAGTATAGAGCATGAAGTTCCTAGTCTTCCTACTACAATGATTTGAGGATATGGAATGTACATAATCTTTATCCTCATCACCTCTTGGTAACTAAGGGGGCATACTATTTAGTGATTAACACACCTAAAAATATATTCAATTCCTTTTCAACTTAATAAGACCATCAATTAGCACATCTCATAGGCAGGAACCATCCCTTGTTATGTACATTATTTTAAAAAGTGGTACAAGCTGTCTGCAATCCAGTTTTTCTCCTTATCTAAGAGAGGACAACCTAGCAGAAGAGTGTACTTATTAAAGTACTGATTGATTCACACCTAAAAAATAAATTCAACTCCCCCCCTTCATATGAGAATTGATTTAAAATTTAGAACATGTTAGTAAAAATTTAAAACATGCGAGTAAAAATTTAGAACATGTGACTCAAATTAAAATTTTGAACATATGAGTAATGATTTAGAACATTTGTGTGAGTAATATATTAAAACATCTGATTTAAGAATTAGAACAAGTGATTAAAAGTTTATAAATTTTGATTTATGAAATTTTAAACATAAGTAAATTATGAACATATGAATAAAAATTTAGAACAAACTGATATAGAATATAGAAAGTGTGAGTAAAGAATTTAGAACATATGAGTAAAAAAACAGAACATACGCTTCAAAATCTAGAGAATATAATTAAAAATCTTAGAACACACGTTTCAAAATTTAGAACATATAATTTAAAATTTTAGAACAAATTATTTAAAATTTATGACACCAAACTAAACTAATTTATGGGTTAGAACATGTGATTACTAAATTAGAACATTTGATTTAATTTAGAACACATAAGGAAAAGTTTAGAACATCAGATTTAAAATTTAGAACATAAAGAGTGTTCTCACATACGAAAAATTCTCACATAAGAAAAATTCTCACGAGAGCCTTTCCCTATATATATATATATATATATATATAAGCCTATCTGCACTCCAGTTATTCTCTTAATCTCCTTTTTAAAGAGAGGACAACCTTATTTTCTAGCAATAACAGGTAATTTTCCAATAATAACCCCCCAACAGACCACTGAGATGTACAATGACTGCTCAGTCATTTCGCTCTTCAGATTCTTCAAGGCAAGAACGACCATAAATAGTTTGAGGGAGTGGGAAAAGAGGGTGGTATTAGTCAATTCTAATAATAGATAACTCCCAAAAAAAAAAAAAAAAAAAAAAAAAAATCTTAATCCAATCAGAAAAGGGAGGTGGGGGAGGGGATTGGTAAGTGGGACACCAGGCAAACAGAAGTCTATATCTATACAACTACAGCTTTGGTCACTTCAGCTAAAAATAGAAATAATGAAGAAAAAAAAAACTCATTATTTTTCAAAAAATAATATAACTAGTAGTTACCTCCATATATATGCTTGATAATTCTTCTTTTTCAAGTATAATAGCAGCATCAGAACTATCAGGCGCTGGAGCCAGGTACTTATCAACCAAAGAATCCATATAATCAATTTGTTTTGGGAGTGACTGGATAGATTCCAAATGTATTAATGCCTGCATGATGGAAACAACTTTCATAAGAATCCTTCTTTTCCTGTCTCAACTTCAGTCTGGACAGCAAGAATATCTCTTCTTTAAAAATAATTTATGGCATTTAAGACTGGTGAGTTTATGAAATCTTTTTATATGTATCCTTATAGGTGTCTGAACAGCAGGATATTTCCAAATATCAATAAAATGTACCTCCAAAATTGGCTTTGATAATTGGACATGATCAAGAGCTCCAACAAGAATATCTCGAGCTTTTTCTGCATTTCCATAAACCTTCCAAATAAGGCAAGATAAAGACACTGTTAGCTCATTAAGAACTTTAAGATAGCACAGATATTAGAACACGACACAGCATTACCTCATTATATACCTAACAGCAACTTCAGAAAATAAATGAGATTATCAGAAAAGTTGCCCCACTGAGGTTCTAACAGTACTAACAGAGTAGACATTGTCTCCAAATAAGAGTTGAAATTTAAGGCTGCATGCAATTCTATATTTGATACTCCTCAACCATACTGTTGGGACTAGTGTGATGTTTTATTTTTATTCGATTCAGGTATTACAATTTCTAGTAAATAAATATAGGAGATGCTGTTCAGAACTTCACACAGATATACTCGTATAAACAATCACAATTGAGAATCTGATGTCAGGTTAATGTTGATCTTAAGTAACATTACATATTTCTAGGAGCTTGTAGAATTATATGATTGTAATCTAATATGCTGATTATGATGGCCAACAATCTTATGAGAGATCACAATCCAAACTACCCTGCAAAAGAAATAATACATGTGCAACCATTTCAGGAAAACAAGAAATAGTTTACAAGCACCCAGAGCCAAAGTCAGATTGTTGGCAAACAGATGTGTATTTCACAAGAAGCACAAAACCTAAACAGTACATGTCATTCTACAATACAAACAGATGCAAATCAAATTGTTGTTTATGACGACTACAACCAATTTGTTGAACCACAAGTCCCAAAAACTCCAATATGGCCGTAAATAATAGAACCACATAACTATGTAACATTGATACAAAATTAAGCCAGCACGAATTTTAAGACAATGTGAAACCTACCAGATAAACAAACCGAGAATACTGAGCAAATAGCATTGGTAAGGATTGAGAATGTTCTTTTCCTTTCTCAATGGCAATAGCTTGTTCGTATAATGAGAAAGCGTCTTCCATATTTCCCTGATGATTCGAAGAAATCAATGGTAAGAGAGCATCTATATAATGAGCAATGATTATAAGAATATAAGCTAAACACCTTCAAAAAATATATACCAGCCTCCGCTCCATGTTGGCATGTTCAATGGTGGCCTCCAAAAGCCCAGGAGAGATCTCAGTGTGCACAAGATGATAGGCACCACGAGCTCCAGGAACATCACCACGTTGCTCTTTAATGCGAGCAGCAAAAAGGTGAATCTCAGATTGCCTCTGAACAAATTAACACATTCCAAAAAAAAAAAAAAAAAAAAAAAAAAACACTTAGCATCTACAAGTAAAAAGGCATCAATGATACTTTGTATAACTTATTCCTTAAAAAACAAGTCTATGTGGTCATACATTAATTGAATATATGACAAAAATTGGAGTACAGAGATGAACTATAGATTAATTAA